ACAGAACCTGGCGGGGGGATCAGGTAAATTTTCTTGCGACACAACCAAAAATCCTCTTACCCCCTCCTTCCTCCTTCCTCCCCCACTGGCGATACAAAATGAGCGGTTCCTGAGCTAAAGACAGGTCATCGTGGTGTTAGGTCGTATAGAGGGTTCTTACGTGACGTGCGTCTAGAGTGCTGTGGGGATCGGCGTCGTTGAAAGGGTCGTATACTTTTGATTGACATTTTCTGACATTTTCCATGCATATATCTTCATGTTGTCCTTTTAAAAACCTTTCCCTTCTTTTTTTTTTTCTTTTTTTTTTACAGGTTCCTAGGTCTTTAATTGTGTTAGTTGCGGGTGAGATCACCGAGGACCTTAAATCTGCTGCCACCAAACTGAAGAGCACGGGCGTTCAGATATTTGTCGTTGCTGTTGGTGTGACTACACCATCATCTCGGCATGTTAGTCTCGCCAGTGGAAGGAAGTTTGTTCACACCGTTGACAGTTTCGACGAGCTTGGTTCGTTGGCTGCAAGGTTGGCCAAGGACACGTGTGAAGGTGAGCTTTTCTTGACTTGCTAAGTGAGTTCTCCTAAGGTTCATTACATGATACTATGACTTAACACTTAGACAAAGGTTAACTTGTTTTTTGTCATTTTTAATGGAAATTTATAATCAGCAATTTATGATTTCCATGTCTTAACTATTTGTGAAGGAATGTACACCACATTTTTCATAATTTAAAAATTGTTACTTACAGACCCTTGCGCAAAGAAGATTTGTCAGCCCTATGCCCGCTGCAAGGCAATCGATTTTACTCGCACAGAGTGCGTGTGCCCAAAGATCAGTGATTGTCCAACCACCAAAGATGAAGTATGCGGCAGTGATAGAGTCACTTACAACAATGACTGTGTTTTAAGAGTCCAAGCCTGTACAAGAGGACAAGATATCACTGTGGATAATTTGGGCCCATGTGGTAAGATTTGAACGTTTTGAAAACTCTGCAAATACTTTCCTGCACTGGGTATATCCCTACGAATGCCGGAAGAGAATTTTTCAAGTGAATGTGATATTTGATCCACGCCTCTTTGCTAATTTCTTTTATATGGCTCCGTGATTGGTTTAGAACCATCGTGCCTCCCTTTTCAATCCAATTCAATAACCAATCAGAAGCAGGGAATTCATCTTTTCCCGCGCTAAGGCAGTGAACTTGATGTTACTGAATTCTCTGTGTTATTTTCCGATGCTCTATTTTGCCCATGCCATAATTATGACCAGAGTAGAACGACAGTAAATCCAAATTCGCTTTAAACCATCGATCTGTGTTGTAATTTTTCTCTTAGGTTTGTGTGCTGGTGTTAAATGTAAAGAGCATGCGCACTGCGAGGTTAAGGGTGGCAAGGCACAGTGTGTCTGTAAGGACGTTAGGGAATGTCCCCAGACTCCCACCCCTGTGTGTGGTAAGAACAACAGGACTTACATCAACGTATGCTACCTGGATGTGGAGAATTGTCGACTTGAAGAAATTGTTGATCAGCAGAGACCAGGAAAGTGTGGTAAGTACCCCGTCTCATCTGGTTCAGTTTTCCTTGGAACCTGTTAGCGGGCGCTTGTGAGACTACTTATTCTATTTTAAAACGATCCTGGATGAACTCCCATCAGATTAATTCAAACAGAGTCAAATAGCCTTTTGGCTTCCTCTTCTACCCACCAACAATATTCAGCGAACATTTTCTATAGTAATGTTAAAATTATAGAATGGTCTTAGGGATTTAGTTGGCAAGTCCGACTTGAAGAAATGAAAAATACGTTATAATTTGTTTATATGTGAATTCACTTCATACAGCTTAACAATTAATAAATCGTTTTAGTATTTTTTTTTTCCAATATGAGTTTCCTTTCATGTGTATCTGTGAGATCCTTTTGTATTAGTTTCACGTCTTGGGGTAATGGGAGAATGCAATCTTCGATTGTAATTATGCACTCTTGTAAAACAAAGTGTTTATAGTTTGTTGTTATTTTTGTTGTTCGATGCCAAGTCGATGCAGAACTTAAGAGAGAAAAGGTGATAAAGATCTCATGTCCTGGCACCCACGAGAGCCCCCCCTCCCATCCCCTCCCCTTCCCCTTTACTACAAAGCTCGAAGGGTGAGTAGTCGGGTAGGGGGGGGTTCCTATGTGGGCGTTTCCCTGCATTTGGCGACATGCGTCAATTACGAATATTCTTTCCTTTTTTTGTAACGTTATGTCAGAGCCTTGTGCCGAGGTGCAGTGTAAGGAACCAAAGTTGTGCAAAGCGGATTCCCAAGGTAACGCTGAATGTGTGTGCCCGGATGAGAGAGATTGTCCAATGACTGTTCATGCTGTGTGTGGCAGCGATGATAAAACGTACCTCAACGAGTGTGTGATGAAGGCAAAGGCTTGTCTCAGAGAAATGCCGGTTTATATCGTCATGGATGGATATTGTGGTGAGTACTGGTCTTGATGTTAAAGAAAACGTTTTTGGTTAACATTTGGCAAATATATGCGTTTGAATTTCACAAGTTCAGCAAATGAACAATAATGGCATCTGCAGAGAGGATTCTGGACTAGAGGTAATGTAACATGCAGCATGTATAGATAACAAGAGCCGACATGTTTTAATCAGTCACTAGCAAATGTGACTTTCGGAAAATCTTTTAACAAGATTCGAGGTTTTTGAAGTTATTTGCTTAAGATAAATTTGGTGTAATTGCTGCTATAAATGGAGTTGCAAATGCTGTTGGAGTTATTGTTTATTTTTTTCACACAGCGACCTCTTCTCCGCAAACACAAATTCTGTAATAATGTAAGCCTGGCGGCTGAAGTTTTTGTATACTGACCAAGCGTGAAATAGTCAGTCATTCATTCCCAAGATCTGAATACAAATTCTCACTATTATTTTTCATACATCTACTACTGTTTCAGCTCTGATAACTTGGTTTTAAATTCAACAAAACATCATGATTGACATTATTCTTTCCTCTCTCTCCTTCCTGTCAGAAAATATATTGATATTGTAAAGAGAAATTCCTTTTTGGTCCCGTAATCTCTTGGGTTTGAGGATCTCATGTAGAGTCATGCAAAGATTAAAGGGCAATACACTAACAACATATCATTTATACCAACCTTCCTTTCCCCAGACCCGTGCGACCTCGCTAAGGACTGTGAGAACAACTCCGCCTGCATCGGAAACGCGGACGGAACGGTCTCTTGTAGGTGTCGGACAGAGGCCGAATGTCCAAAGGACGGTGATGGTGTGTGTGGCTCAGACGGACAGACGTACATTAACAAGTGTCTTTTGGATGTGACAGCCTGTGAAAATAATGAGACTGTACGAGTTGTGCATGAAGGACCTTGTGGTAAGAGGGTAATGGGGTAAAAAGGGGCATCAATATGGGACTCTGTTACTGGTTGGGGGGCTCTTACTCTGATTTCTGCATTAGTTTTATCACAATAATGCCCTGCGTTTGTTTATCAAAGTATTATCAAGAGGTATTACATTATGTTTCAGAACGTCTTTTCTTTCCCTATTTATTTGGTGTATTTGGCCTTATTGAGTGTGGACATCGCACTAACATTACGCGAAATGATTAATCAGTCGCCAAATGTCTCCGACGGAGAAAGTTTTTTAATGTTTGAAGGTCCCTAGGGGTAATTTGTAGTTCGGTAACCATGGTGATCTCGTGAACTTTATTGTCACCTTAGCAGCACTACACTCCAATACAATTGACGAAGTGTTTCAACTTCCGTAAATTCGTCAAACTCAATTATTTTTTAATTTTTTTCTGTGTTCAGGTTCGTGTAACCCTGGTAGTTGTAATACCAACGAAGTGTGCATCGGTCAAAGGGATGGACCATTTTTGTGCAAGTGCATCGAAATTAAAGACTGTGCCAAAGAAAATGACCCTGTTTGTGGCACGGACGGGAAAACCTATCTGAATGAGTGCTTTATGAAAGCGATGTCATGTGAGAAGAACGCATCTGTTGGATTGAGGCATCGAGGACGTTGTGGTACTGTGCTTTATGTGATTTGGCCACATTATTTTACTCCTTTTTAAGAAGGCCTCTTCCATATTTCTTAGATAAAATAAACCTGCCTAAAACCTCACCATGACTACAATGAGAATAAAATACTGATACCGTTTTTCGAAGAGATTAGAGTCCGATGCTGTGATGTATTTATCCTTAAATATGGAGAACCATCTTTAAGGAAGTATGGTAGCCCGTGTCGCCAAGAAAATTTGGTTATCTCATTATTTATTTGAACAGGGGTTTGTAAAGACACTCGATGCTCGTCAGGCAAGAGGTGTATGGTAAATAAGTTGCAGATACCAGCCTGTAAGTGTCCAACAGAAGACGATTGCCCAAGAGATTATGATCTAGTGTGTGGAAGTGACAGAAAGACTTACATCAACCTGTGCAGAATGGGGGTTGAAGCTTGTATAACCGGACAGCCACTCGAGATGATTAAAAAGGGAGTGTGTGGTAAGGCTGAGATTTTATTGAGTCAAACGTTTTCAGATGTTAATAAATAGACCTACTGATTACGTTTTTGAATTAAACTTTTTCGTAGATCCCTGTAAAGCCTCACGTTGTATGTACCATTCTGTTTGCGGAGTTATACCTGATGGATCAACTGAATGCCGCTGTCCGCGCTTGGAGGACTGCCCGGATGTCAACGATCCCGTATGTGGAATGAATGGCAAGACGTATGAGAGTGAATGCAAGCTGAAGGCTGAAAGTTGTGCTGCAGGAATCGAAGTTACAATGAAACATAAAGGGCCTTGTGGTAGGAAAACAAATGGATAACCTTGTATATACTGTTGTGTTATGATAACCATCGTAATTACAATAGAAAATTGATAAGTACTTTTCTATTAAATTTTGTAATATGGTCAGCCACGTGTTTTTCCTAATTGATCGGAAACGAAAGATAAGATTTCTTGGTGGCTCTTGCACGTCATTTCCCAATGATAACAATTTTTTCAGCGCGTATATCCTTATCTTGTCGGTTGCATTATTGTGATAATAACGATTCTTGTTTTGTAGTTATTATTACCATTATTATTATTATTATGTTAATCTTTATTTTTATTTTCTTGTTGACATTCTTTCCGAGATTTGATGTAAAAATTTAGTTCGAAAAAACCGTTTTTTTATGACGATTTTTTTACATTTCACCTGATTAGGTTTTTATTTGACACAAAAAGGATGATATTTTTAATGGTCGTTGACATGAACAGACGAAAGTAGAATCTAAAATAGAGTTTTTCTCCAGGCCCCTGCTCATTGTCAGATTGTGTTGACTATAATGGCCAATGTATTGAAGCACAAGACGGATCTGGGACTGCGCAGTGCAAGTGTCAAGCCTCTGACCAGTGTCCAAATAATGTCAGGGAGATGTGTGGAGACAATGGTAAAACGTATCGAAACATGTGCTTTTTGGAAGCGGAGTCGTGTCAACTTAGACAAAAAATTGAAGTCCAACAGAGAGGACCGTGCAGTAAGTTTAAAACAATTTTCTGACCAATTGGTTGCCATGTTGCTCGTGTTATGCAAAGTCTGTTTGTGAGTAGTTTTCCATCTGGCTTCAATTTATCAACACAGAAGCAGACATTGCCCGAAAGTTCTAATCGTTGAGCAACAAAGAGTTTTTAAAAAAGAGAGGAATCAATCGCCACGCTAAAAGTTTTTATAATTGACGTCTAAACTTCGTGGATGAATTACGTAGAGGAAACGTGCGGAACTTATTTAGAATTGTTTCGTATCTTTCCATCAGCGCCATGTTCCAAGTCTGTTTGCGCTCAGGACCAAGAATGTGAATTGGATGCCCAAGGTAGAGCATCGTGTAAATGTCCTGAATTCTGCCCCAGCCTGGGTGAGCCTGTTTGTGGCAGCGATGGCCGAACCTACGAAAATGAGTGCAAAGCGAGGAAAGAGTCGTGCGAGAAGAAAAAAGGACTCTTCTTCAAACCTGGTGCCTGCGGTAAGTTGAACTAATAAAAACAAACCGATATCTGTTTAGTCATCTCACACCTACTTGCAATTCATCTTCTTATAAATATCGGTAGAAAATGTGTTTTGATATGAAGCTAACACCCTTTTGCTGTTAACTTTCTCATTTCTCATCACCTGTTTTATGTATGAATATCGAAAGTAGAAATTGCTTGTTAACTACTTCTGGGTGTTATTTGGAGGTGGGAAACAAATTTCTAGTTTAAAACAAATTTAGGCTTTTACTTTTTGCGAGCAAACGGGTTTGTCTCAGAAGGCTTGTCACGCAAGGTTTGTAACGTTATAGACCAGACTGAGAGAATCACAGGAAATGAATGATGTTTTAGTTACATTCTCAAAGATGACAGTAAAGCGCTTGATTTCGAATTCGTGTTTATTGTAGTAATCGCTTGTCTCTGCTTTCAGGATTGGTGGTCGTTCCCTGCTCTCTGAAGAGTTGCATAAATCACGCCCAATGCGTGTTCTCGTCTGGTACAGTGGAATGCCGCTGTCCAGATAAAAACGAATGTTCCAATGTTACGAGCGTGGTTTGTGGCAGTGATGGAGAAACTTACACAGTTTACGACAACGAGTGCCTTATGAGAGTTGATTCCTGTAAAAAGGGCAAAAGAATTGTTCCAGTTACTCCTAACAAATGTGGTGAGTTTTTTTTGTCAGGTCGTCACCTCTTGTTTCTATTGACTCAGATTATTTACTTTATCTATTTACCTATTTATTTTCTATAACTGATTAATGACAATTTTCAATGGCTTCCACAGCTCCTTGTGATTTGGCCAGCTGTCACAGCTTTGCTACTTGTGAAATGAGGAACAACAAAGCAACGTGCGTTTGTCCGTCAGAACGTGACTGTCCATGGAAAGTTGACCTGATCTGTGGTTCTGATGATCAGAGTTACCTTAACGAGTGTGTTATGAAGGCTAGGGCTTGTAAGGCAGGGAAGAAGGTCACTGTCAAAAGAAAGGGCTATTGTGGTGAGTGGTCACGTAACAATACTATGCTTCCATGACTTGCATCTCGATTGAGGACTGACCGTCTGACAAGATGACTGACTGACTTACTGGTTGGCTGACTGGCTGAATAACTGACAGACTGACTGACTGACTAACTTACTGGTTGACGGACTAAATTGAAATATTCACGCAAATTTGTTAAAGGAAACGAAAAAAGGGGAAGGAAAACTCCAAAGTTCTCGAAAGCATGGGTCCTTTAATTTAGGGTATTCTGTTCGTTTACCATTTGGGTTTGAGTTTATAGAACACGAACTCATGCCGAATGAATAAATGCTTTTGAGTCAAAAACTTTTCCCCACGAATTTATTCTTTAATGAGTCGACCTCTTACTTTCCTCTTTTTCAGTTTATTCATTTCCGAGTTGATTTACCGTTTCTTTGTTTTCGATAGGCATTTGTGATTTGGTAACATGTGCTAAAAACGCTGAATGTTTCATCAAATCGAACGGTCTCCACGAGTGTCGCTGCCCAAGAGAAGATGATTGTCCGTCGACATTGGAGAAAGTTTGCGGAAGTGATGGCAAAACCTATGACAATGAATGCAAACTGAAAGTACAATCGTGTTCTGGGGATGGTAGTCTTGTGGTCATGAAACAAGGACGCTGCGGTAAGGAAGTTGTTTTGCCCCCTTCCGGTATAAATGTAGATTCTGCTGGCCCGAACACAATGGTCACGCGTCGGGAATGCGCAACAGGATCAATTCTGATCGGCCGCACACATATTTCCCACGCAAAACACAATGAACAACGTATGGGAAAGTAAATAGAAATTTTCACTCAAATTTGTTGAAGGAAACAAAAGTAAGTAAAGGAAAAGTCAAAAGTTCTCGAAAAAATAGGTCACATTTTGATTTGAGCTTCATCAGAAACGTCACACATTTTAAAAACACCATGACATTCTAGCTTGTTTGGTTGTGTAGAGCTCCTGTAAGACATTATGGTTCTGACAGCATGAGAGCACTCTACTTAGCCTTTGCAATGTTTGCACGCTGGTCTGTCGCAGTAGATTGTTAAGTAGCCTTATAAACGGCTAATTTTTCGAAGTCTCTCTCTTCTTTTTTCAGATGATTGCACGGGAATGAAGTGCCAACCGAACCAAGTTTGTAAAGTAATTCAGAGCTTAGCCACCTGTCAGTGCCCTAACATACGCGACTGCAGTTATGTTCCAGCGCCGGTCTGCGGCTCAGACGACGTTGAGTATCCTAACGAATGTCATCTCAAGGTCAAGTCCTGTTCCGCTGGTGGTGCATTGGTCGTAGAAAACAAAGGCCCGTGTGGTAAGTCTGGTGGCCGGCACTTGCGTCATGTTGAGCAGCACGTGTCTGATCTCTAGCAGCGACACCTCTTATCCAGAACACGTGCCTCGTGTTAAGTTGTTACGCAAGTGAATTTTCGGTATTCTGATATGTTTAAGTGTTGACTTTTGAATTCTTGCGAAGGATCGAAATTTGTGTAGTAATTTCAAGATCTGGAATGAGTATCGAAAGGAAAGATTAAATAATTAACAAATGCACAGAATTATGTAGTTTGTGCCGTGCTGCAAAATGTGTACAGACTCATATGTGTACATATCGATCACATAAAATACGCTGATTAAAACGGTGTATTACCGCGTTTTACTGCAAACTAATACAGCCGCCATTTTGTTATGGCCATACGATTTCAATCATGACCTCGAGTCTGAAAAGTGCGGACAATTGATTTGAAAGAGTCTCGAAAAGCGTTCAGAAAATGTATAGGAACCCGTTAGACGTTTCAGGTCAATTAAAACTTGAAAAGTGATTTGTTGATTGAATTTTCTCCCACTTTCCCCAGTGGGTGGCTGTCGCCACCTGAAGTGTCCAATGTACGCAGTTTGTCACAACGCTCCAGATGGGTCACGCACTTGTGTGTGTCCAAGGAAAAAGGACTGTCTACCAGTAATAAAGACAGTGTGTGGCACAGACGGTAAAACATACATCAACGAGTGTCTTATGAAAGCTATCGCCTGTGAGAAGAAACAAAACACTGAGAAGAAGAACGATGGATTGTGTGGTAAGAATATAAGTTAGGAATATAAGCTTCTGTACAGAATAGTTGAATATTCAGGGACGCCTTCTCCCTTGTAAACCATCGTAAATTTTGAGATGCAGGGGATGACGAGAGTCGCGATTCATGGTAATTGGAGGGAATCAAGTCCGCGCCTGGGGGAGAGGCCCTATGTTCATAATGGCAGGGGTGGTATTAATCAAAAGGAACATTTAATTGTGCATGGGTCTGCGCTTCGTTCAAAATTTAAACAACTCTCCGTACTAAGCCCACCTGTTTATTTTTCATATTCGTGGTACATTTAATGAAATATTCTGTCTTTCATACAAGAACAATCTCTGAATGTTATTAAACTGGGCCCAGTTGTTCGAAGGCCGATTAGCGCTAACCGGGGTTAGATTTTAATCTGGGTTTCTTTGTTCCTTTACTTTAAAGCCTTTTTGGGAAAATTTTCAGTGTCCTTTTCAAAGCATCAAATAATCTTACTCTAGACAAAAAGAATTCGATTGAACTTTCTTTTAAAGCTTTTAGATCTGAAATCGGATTTCACACTAACCCTGGGTTATCTTAACCCAGCTTTGAACAACCCGGCCCTGAATGTGACAAATCTCAACGTTATACGAGCGTTCACTGCTGCTCACATTTTTTGCAGACCCATGTAAGTTTGTAGCCTGCCAAAAGCACAACAAATGCGAGGTGCGAGCGGACGGCTCCACTCAGTGCGTGTGCCAGTCACGGGATGAATGCCCGATCGGAGGAGATTCCGTGTGCGGAAGCAACGGTACTACTTATGAGAACGAATGTGACTTCAAGGCCGCTGCCTGTGGAACTGACTTGAAGATGAAGAAAGGAAAATGCGGTAAGAAAGAGCTACTCTTTTGCCTTTGTCAGGGATTGGAACTTTTCAGATACATTGTGACTGTTAGATAAAACCAATTAAACCCTCTGATCTGTGTTTTAAAGTATCCAACGAAAACTAGCTGATTTATTTTGGTGAAAACGTTGATAATCGTCAATTACCAGCTTTACTGTGAATGGTATCGCTAAATCTATGACCAAAACACGACGAAATAATGAGGATTACGTGCGGCAGAACAAAGAGTGCTGGGCTGTGAAGGCAATTGGAATGGTCGCGTAAACTGATGTATATATCGTATTTACCCCTGGTCGCTTATCTACCGAGTATCGACCGACCATTGATCGACTTATCCATGGATAATCGATCGTTATAGGTAACAGGGGTGACAGACATCACACATAATCCGGTAAGCTCAGGCGATTTGGGGTCGTGCGGAAATTGTGTGAAAACGCGAATCTTGTCGTTTTATTGTTGTTATCTAGATGCATGCTCCTTCCATCAATGTAAGCCATATCAAGACTGTGTTGTGGTTGACAACACAGCGAAGTGCCAGTGTCCTAGAGGATGTCCGTCCAACGAGGATCGAGTGTGTGCTAACAATGGGAAATCGTACACAAACGAGTGTCTGATGCGGGTAAAGGCGTGCAAGGCTAGAAAGCAGCTAATTGTGGTCAAGAAAGGGGAATGCGGTAAGAGATTATCTTTTTCTAAATCTCTACTTCCCTCTTCAGAGACATACTGAGTTCGAGGCCCGTATTGTACGTTAAGGATCAGGTTTTTTCCGCTCGGTTTTACGGCCCAAGGGTAAACCGCGGGTCATAAATCCGAGCGGAAAAAAACTAGGCTCTGAAACTAACGGTACGGAGCGAGAAACCGCGATTAGTAAGATTTTTAAGATATCTCTGGGTTCAAATAGAGGAGGAACATAGTGCACCTACTTATTGAGAGATATAATAAACCTCGTTGTTATATGACATGATAGTCCTGATGTAAACCTGAGCGTTCTGATTGGCTCTTACTCGGTCGGTATTCTGCCTACGGACTGTTTCCATGGAAACGGTCATAAGCCATAAACCATTGCTGTATTTTTGCTCGCGAAAGCCAGCAAATACAAAATAAACAAGTTTGGTTCGAGCGACATATGATAAACTACTTACTAACCTCAGTTGTTCGAGCTGCACTGGGAAATACTACCACGCCCTTCAGTGCGGCCATCACGCTCAGTTAGTAAAGTAAGTAGTAAAGTAAAGCCTTTATACGGGCCCAGGTGGCCCATGGGGCCGGTGCTTAACTCCAGTTTTCTTAACATGAAGCGGCTAGGAGTATTGCTACTCCCCCTGGATGGGATGCTGGTCCATCGCAGGGGGGAGTCCAGCACATTTGCTGGTACCCATTTGTACACCTGGGTGAAGAGAAGCACTGTGAGAGTAAAGTGTCTTGCCTAAGAACACAACACATTGACCTCGAGCGCACTAACCATGAGGCCACCGCGCCTCTACACTCAGTTCGTAAGGAGTTATTATTTTTGGGTCTTGGAATATTTTTATCCTCCAGTCTTTAAATACAGGGTTCTTATAAGGAATTCTAGCTTCCAAATTTTGCACGGAACAGGGTTTCTATTAAAGTGTATAATGTGTGGATTATTTATGTTTTTAATAGATGCGTGCGCCCTGAAGAGATGTGATTTATACCAACGATGTGTCCTTAATAGCGACAACCAAGCAAGATGTGTTTGTCCTTCTCCCCTCGAGTGCCTGCGCAGTCAAGCAGCCTCGCCTGTGTGTGGTAGTGACGGTATAACGTACGCAAGTGAGTGTGCGCTGAGGGCAGCGAACTGCCCGAAACGATCGAAGGCTCGCCTGCTGTTCAGGGGAGAGTGTGGTAAGTATTTCAAAGGTATCTAAAGTATGAGAACATCGCTTTAGAACTCCAAAGACTGGCATATTACTTGAAGTATTTTGCATTATTTTACTACCATTATTGGGAGAACCATTTAAAAAGTAAGCTTATGAGATTCTTCGTTTGCTTCAAGCCGTCGCTTAAATGAAAATTACGAGCAATTTTGTTTAGTTTTTCGGCTCATTTATGTTAAAAATTTGCATCGATTGGGGATAATTGCTTTTTGTTAATGATTAGAACAAATATAAGGAAGTTCTCCAACTGTAATTGGACGTTATTTTTGGAATAGTTTTATAATTTCCTACAAAAATAATTTCTTTTTTTTCAGGATGAATTTTAATTACTTCAATTTACTTAAACCACAGGTTTGGTCGTTCTACCCTGTACCAGTACTTATTGTAGGTATGGCGCGAGGTGTGGCTTTTCAAGGGGTTACCCAGAGTGCATCTGTCCCGTGGAAATTGATTGTCCGTTAGAAGACAACCCCGTGTGTGGTAGTGACGGAAGGAGATATCCCAATCCATGTGTCATGGAGGCTAGAGCTTGCCAGATGAGAAAGGATGTTACAATCGTAGAATTCGGTGACAAATGCGGTACGAAGAAAATTTTACCCACTAAAATGACGTTAGTAGTAGTATCAGGTGTTGCTTTCGATGCCGTGTTTTGAAACTTCGCACTTTTTGCTGCGATCACTGTTTTTTGTTTTTGTATTTGTTTTTTGTTTTCTTTTGCGCAAACAGTGAGCTCTTGTCAAGCCCCACTCCACCTAAGAGATAAAACAGCTACTTGTGAATTACTTTAGATTTTGACTCACAATGGATCGGCGCGTCTTCCAAGAGAGTTCTTAAATTAGAGATTGTAACGATCTGAATGTTTCATTGAAAAAGTTTAGACTCATCTTTTTAGGAAAGCTTTTCTAGAGAATTTGATATTTTACTATTTTTTAGACATTTTACTTGATGGACAATATACCTTTAAGCTAATAAGTTAAGAAAATCATAATAATCATCTGATAATAATAATAATAATAGCTTTTAGCGTTTGTAACAGAACTAGATATATTATTTCATTTCGACATATTACCTATTGTCTGCAAATGAATTTTTTCCGGCATGTTATAAAGCTTAAGTGAGCCTATTTACTATTCGCCATGAAGTGCGTTTGGACATCACTGGAAATTGTGCTATAGAAACAAAGTATTAATATTGCTGTTGTTATTAGTATAATAACTATTATTATTATTATTATTATTATTATTATTATTATTATTATTATAATTGAAGATGTTTTGTTAGGGGATACAATGTTCTCCTCGTTTAGCAGGGGGGGTGCTTGCATCTCAGGGACCATTACATAGTAACTCAGTCTTGCGTGTTGAACAAACAAGAAAGAGATTAGGGCCTAGTTGTTCAAAGACCGATTAGCACTAACCCAGGGTTAAATTTTAATCAATGTTTCTTTATTTCTTTATTTAAGAGCCTTTTATAGGATAATTTTCCCCATTCTTTTAGACCATCTAATCATCAAATTGTGGACAAAAAGAAATAAATTAAATTTTCTTTTAAATTATCAGATTTGAAATCAAATTTAACATTACCCCTGGGTTAACTTAACCAAGCTTTGAATAACCCGGCCCAGAAGTGAAACTTCGTCAATTCTTCAGATGGGAGAGAATAGTATTAACCATGAGCGTGCTATCCCTCAATATGGCGGTTTCAAGGAAGGTTAGAATTCTTCCATCATTTGTTGACATTTTATTGTTAATTCTCCAGGAGCATGTCGGCAAGCAAATTGCGAGAAATTCTTTGCCACATGTCGGTTCACTGACACAGGGGTGGCAACTTGTATTTGTCCTGAGGAGGATCAGTGTCCTGTGGAAGTTGATGAAGTGTGCGCCAATGATTCCAACGTGTATTCTACAGAATGTCACATGAGGGCGAAGGCCTGCAAGTCAAAGGTTCCTCTTGGTGTTGTCAAGAAAGGACCCTGTGGTACGTGTTACTCTACAGTTAATTAACTCATAGCGGAAATTATTTGAAAATGCATTTTCAGGCCTAAATTACGAAAAGAATAATTTCTCATAAGGTCATGCACACGCTGTCGCCATCATAACATTAAGACGACTGAAGACCACCACAGAGCAGTCGAGACGTTACAATCCCACAACGAATACGATTACTTTGTAAAACAAAATACAAGACGTGGTTATAGATGTAACTGACCAACAAGTAAAGTAAATAACAGTGCGGAAAGTTTATATCGGGTGCAAAGAGTTTAAAACGAATGCTTAAAAGTGATATCTACACTTTAACCCCCTAAGAGTGATGAGTATCTAATTTCTCCCTGTTGTATCACTCCTGAATCCCTCATTTTGGTTACTAGAATAGAGATGATCACCAACAAAAGAAGCTCTTGATTGTTAAACAAATTCTCCTCGTCACCACCTCAGGAAATGTATAGAGATCAGTATGGAGAATGTGCATACTGATGCTAGGTTTTTAAAAGCCGGGTTAAGGGTATATAGTTACCAAACAATCAAGTAATTTTGAGTGTAATTTGGAATAGATGATCACTCGTTAGTTTTTTCAAAGACTTCAAATTACACTTGCTTTCGAGCACCTGCAATGTTCTTTAATCTCTAAGCAACTCACCCTTGCGAAATCGTTTGAAAATTCGACCACACCTTAAAGAACAGTCTTCTCAGTTTTCATTTTTTGTTGTTAAACAGAAACTTGCGCAGATGTCAAGTGTGAATTCCACGCCAAATGTGATCTCATTGATAGAAAACCCAAATGTCAGTGTCCCAAAGAGGAGGATTGTTCTTCTTTGAAATCAAATCAAATTGTATGTGGATCCGATGGCCTGCAATACGACAATGATTGTTATATGAAGGTGAAATCATGCAAGGAAAAAAGGTCGATTACAGTCAAGAACAAAGGAGTCTGTGGTATGTGCAATGTTGTACAAAGATAAACGAAGAATGGTTACAATTACCGGGATTGGTGTTAGATTTTAACTATGCTGAATAATGCTTTTACCACTCTTGATCAATCAACAGTCACTTTCACATTTAGTCTTTTGCATGAGCTTTTTTTTATAGGCCGTTTAATTTGAAAAGTTAAGCTAAATGTTTTACGTTTTTTGTAAATATTATCACGTTCGTTTTTGCTTTCAACTTAATTCGCAAATGGGTTTTAAATCTTTTTTAGGGAATGTAGGTTCTGTCTTTTTAAATAATAAGTTTCATTGTTTGTTCGTATGTTTTCATCCTTTGATTGTTTTTATTCTAACCAATGTTTCTTTCGTGTTCTTTTTTTCACGACTCTCACGGATTTCTTTCCGACACTGTTCAGAACGAGGTAAGTTGAACAAATAGAGAATATGATAACTATTCATGTTTTCAGCATTCCAGCAGCAACTACAACGAAAGAAAAGGATTATGCGATTTAAACGTGTTTTCTGGAGCGCAGTCAGGGCTCCTAAGTTATAGATCATAAGGTGATCGTTTGGATGAGGTACGTCCTGAAGAGTTTGTGACAGTGGACATGAGCAGAACACGTCATAAGAGTCTAGTAAGGACGACTGCGTCAGTCGACTGTTTTTAGGTCAGAAAAGCTGTGTTTCTGTTGGCTTGAAGACACAAGTGACCTTGGTGAGCTGTGTTTGGTCAGTTTAGTTCGTTCGACAAAGTTAGTTCGATTTGTTCAATTCGTCTGTTTATAATGGTTTCTTCTGAACATAGAAGGACTTGGAAGTTGTAACCACTCAACGGCGACAAGAGAAAAGAGTGCTTCTTTTTCCTATGCAGTTGTATTCTTATCAAATTTATCTAAAGGCTGGTATGATTTTCAAACGTCTTAAACTAGATTTAGACATAAGAATGTCCAGTTATAACACATCCTGAGAACTTGATCCACGCCTTCCGTGCCTATCTGTTGAATTACTACCGAAAGTTCAATCTATCTCTTTGATTCTTTGTGTTTCGATGCATTGTGCTGGAATATTTTTCTGTAGTTTGCTTTTAACACTCTTTTAATATTCCTTTTTCTCTCCGAGCTTAACAATTTGTGTCGCGGATTTTCTATCCTTCCCACACAGACAATCCATGCTCTACAAAACAGTGTCCACCATACACTGAGTGTACACTTGACAGTAACAGAGAAGCGCAGTGCTCATGCGTAAAGCGGTGCTCTCTAATGTTTGATCCCGTATGTGCCAGTGATGGCAAGACATATTTGAATGAATGCGTGTTCAAAATATCAGCTTGTGCATTGAAGAGAAACACAACCATGCTACACCAAGGCCAATGTAGTGAGTTTTTATGTCTTCTGTGATTTCCTTCTTTGTAAATGGAGCTAATGATGTCATTGCAAATATATTTCTGAGATTTCGTTTAAGGTACCTTAGAACAATCCCAAGAACGATCTTCTTACAGTCAATCTTTTAAGCGCTCTGGCATGCCTCTTGCCATAATATGTGTTTATTGATTTGATCTAGTCTCTTGTTATTTCCATTTGTCCCTCATACAATCTTCCATCAACTGAACGATGTCTACCAACAAATGACGTCTCGAACTCTCCTCAAGACAAGACAAGATCTTCATGATTTTAGAGAGCACTTTTAGATCTTCGCACCTTCGGCTGCCAAGCCTTTTAGTTTTATCTTTTAACAATTAGCCTGTTTCCCTCCCACTTTTTATTCAGTCAATTCTCTATATTTTCCTCTTTACTTTTTCGTTACACCCTCTCAGCGCCATGTTCTACGGTCACGTGTCAACGCTATGCAAAGTGTGTGTCCACTAATGATACCACCCTCGGAGTGTGTGTCTGTCCACAAGACTGTTCCTATGAGCCACGCCCTGTATGTGGCAGTGATGGAGAAACTTACATCAACGAGTGTCAGTTGAAAGTAACTTCATGTAACCGAAAAGCGAACGTGTCCGTTTTTCGCGCGGGGAATTGCAGTAAGTTGTACATTTACTCTGACTGTATCTGTTCTTTCAATCTTAATTCTTTTAGCTTAAAATTGCCTGGCACTAAGAGAAACTTTCACTTTATTTGTATGTACTAAGAAGTCTATTCTTGACCAAACACATTATTTTTAACCAGCTTTGCACGCAAGTACAACACTTCCTTTCCATTTTCAGTCATTTCATCAGGGTGTAGTTTTCATAGTCTCAACCAGTTCTTGTTCTTCTCTGCTGAAATATTTTTCTGTTATTCTCGCTCTTTGCTTCCTTAATTTCATTGTTAATTCTCAGATCCTTGTTACTCCAAGACATGTCCGCCATATGCTAAGTGTGTTTCTCAGTCCGGGACCTCCGCCGTCTGCGTATGTCCCGGTAAATGCCCACTGGTTTATGAGCCACTTTGTGGCACGGATCGCAAGAGTTATTTCAACCTGTGTGCTCTCCAACTGGAAGCTTGTCAATCAAATACAAACATTACAGCAGCTTACAAGGGAACGTGTGGTATGAGACCATCACTTGTCATTTTCACCCTCTCTGCGACATTCAATTCATAAGATAGCTTATTTTTTTCTTGTATCTTTTCCAAACATTTCACGTCAGTTATGGTTAATCTCTTTTCGACGCAACGCTGTGACTTCAGCGGTCAGAACTTTGGAGTCTTGATCGACAGATATCCAGTTTAATCTTGGGTTGTGTCATTGTGCTATGTTTTCTTGGATGACATTTCTCTCTCCACGCCCCTCTCCACCAGGGAGAATGAATGGATACCAGTAAACTGTTGGATGCATCCAATCCAGGGGGAAATAGAAATAATAGTAGCCATTTCATGCCACTAAAATTGGTGATAGGTACGGATATCCTATAAGACTTAATTTCATTTCCATCGTGTGGTGAAATAGGATAAGTCTGTATTCGAGCCAAGGGTTGCATTCTGTCACCCAACTTATCCCGGTTAAATAGCATGAAGTGACTAGGAGTATTACCACCCTCCCCTGAATGGGACGCCAGTCTATCGAAGATAACCCTCCCTCCACTTCCCCCCGCCCCCTTCATCAGGCTTCCCCGGCAGTTCGCCTGTACCTATTTATACTCCTGGGGTGGAGAGGGGCATGGTTAGAGTAAAGTGTCTTTCCCAAGAACACACAACACAATGACCTGGCCAGGTCTCGAACCTGAACCTCTGGACGTAGGGGTCTGGAGCACTGACTGTAAGACCGGTGCGTCTCCTTTTATGAATTTAAAACGAATAATTGATGATCTCTTTTTTTCCAACCTCTCCTCCTACTTTTGGGTTTTTCTTCTTTTGACTCGCTTTTCCTTTTTCTCTCTCGCATCATCGCTCTTTCTTCTTTGGGGTTGTAGACAGTCCCCAGAATCCTTGCGCTCTCAGGACCTGTCCGCCACACGCGAAGTGCGTTATTGTGGCTAATGGTACAGCAGACTGTGCATGTCCAAGGTCTTGTCCTACGTCCTTGAATTTTGTGTGCGGGAGTAATGGAAAAAGCTACCGTAACACTTGTGAATTGGAGAGAGACTCTTGTAAAAGGAACAAAGTTATTAGAGTCTCCCACATGGGCTACTGCGAAAGTAAGTAAAGATTCCCTTGTTGCCTCAATTTCCTTCTATAGCTCATTGTTTAATGTCACACAGTTCTGGTAGGACTGTTTAAATCTGATTTGCAGATCGCTTCACCATAACTGTGTCTATTAAATTATTTGACCAACCAACCCGCCAGCTAATCAAAGCTCTTAGCTAATGTCCAACAGACTTACTTACTTACTTTCAGAAATGTTGTCGTTTCGCCTACGGGTTGTTTCGCTAATGACCAGTCCGTTAACGACTTAGCTTGATTCGTTTCCCCAATCTTTCAGGTCGGTTCGCTAACATCTCATAGGTCGTTTCGCTGACGTTCCAGGTCACTACACTAACCACCTAATTATAGCAATACGTGGGAGAAATTATTGTTTATTGAAGCACTTATCAAGTTTTCATACATAGAAATACTACCCAACAAACGAAGAACATTTTATGAAAACATTTGCGTAAAAATTAATGAGTGGAAATTTGACGAATGTCATGTTAATCTACTAACCTCTTTAATCTGTTCTAATCTTCGAAGTCCCTTGTCATGAAGGCAAATGCAAATACGGTGGATATTGCGAGCTTGTTAACAACACCGCAACCCGCTGTCGATGCCCAAGGTGTCACTTTAGATACAAGCCGGTCTGTGGTACTGACAAATTGTCTTACATAAACCACTGCCTTCTTAAGCAGCATGCCTGTCTTACCCAGACTCATATTTCCGTGGCGCAGCACGGTCGTTGTTGTAAGTGCCGTAATGTTCTTCGGTCAATAATTATGGTAATTTTAAAAAATTATTTTTAGGAATTCTTTGCATTGCTTTTAAAGTTTACTGTGAGCCGAAAAGTGTTTACTAAACCTTTTATCACCAGTATAAATACTTTTACCGTAATCGTGCAACCGCTCATTTGAAAATATTTCATGTTTGAGTCACCTTAAAACGTCTTCTATTTTTTCATAGTGACAATTAAAAGAAATTAGTAATTCATCAAATATTCTTAATGACTTTTTGTCTCTTTTGTCTTCACCTGTGCCCATTTTCTCTGTCCTTTGTAATTCGCTTATTTCGCTACGCAATAAAACGCAAGTGAATGTTTTTCCGCGTTCATTTAGGGGTCTTACCATCCTCCAATCTTCTGTTATAATGTTCCAATTATTACTACCTCTTCCCAGCGTGTAATAGCTCCCGCTGCCAACACGGCGCCAAATGTCTTCTTCTGGAGGATGGGTCCGAATCGTGCCAGTGCCCTCTCGGCTGCTCGTTGTCTTACAAACCCGTATGTGGTACCAATAAGAAGACTTATGCTAACCGCTGTGCTCTGGATCTAGACACGTGTCTAACAAATGGAACAGTGATGCTCGCACGTGAAGGAAGATGTTGTAAGAGAACTTGACGTCCTCCTATTTTCTCAACTCTTCTTTTACGCTTTTGTTATGGCTCAGTCTTTTCAAACTTTAAGTTTAAGAGCTGCAAACTTTACCAAAATATTTTCTCGTTGTCCTAATATTTCTTGCATTCATTTCCCTGCTGTTATCTTTACTTCTCCTAGTCGTGGGTTGCGCTGATATCAAGTGCAACTTCTATTCCACGTGCGTGGAGAGACCTGACGGACAGGCAGCTTGTGTGTGCAATGAACGATGTGATCTGAAATTAGATCTTGTCTGTGGAAGCAACGGTAAAACATACATCAACGAATGTCTTCTTCGGGCGGACGCCTGCAAACAGCGAAAGAGCTTTGTTGTGTTGCAGAAAGGAGCTTGTAGTAAGTTGCGTGAGGCATGCGTGTAAAGCAGAATCTTTTCTATTTCCCCAGCACCTTGAGAACGATGTGAAGTCTTGATCTTTTGTCACACTTTAGTAGAGCACTTCCTTTATTTTTTGCGTGTGTTTCTTCACTCTGGTTACTTTTAACCGTACAGCTTTGTCGTTTACGAAGTATTAAGGATCTTTAGCATACACAGTTTCACTCATAAACTTTTTTATGCTGTTTGATACTTCTTTCTCATACGAATATATTTGAAAAAACTTGGTTTTGCACTTCTACTCCAGTTACTTTCTTAAGTTTGGACTTTTCTTTCAAGAAGTGCTTCTTTCTTCTCCTTTGCTCGTTGGAACGTAATGAACAGAATACTGCTCCATAATATGTACAAGAAATAACGATCCCTATTTTCCTCTTTGCTTCCTCTTCTTACCCAGCTCCTTGTGCTCTCCTGAAATGTGACTTCTATGCTGAGTGCAAAGCGCAGCTTGACGGCTCTCTGGAATGTGTCTGTCCTAGACAGTGCCCGCTGTCTTTCGATCCTGTGTGTGGTTCCAACAGACAGACTTATCTTAATAAGTGCACACTTCAAGTAGAATCTTGTAGAACTCAAACTCGCATCACTGTGGCCAGACGGGGACAGTGTGGTACGTAGTTACCAGCATCTGGAAATTTTGTTTTCCCAACTGGGAAAGAGTTTGTTTTCCTGGAGCAGATCCAGCCTTTTTTTGAAGAAGGGTTTCACCACTAAGGAGTGACGTCACTGAAGTTTGACCTAACGAACAGACTGGCTTATGCTTGAAATTTCATTGCCAAACTACCATTTGTACAGGGTTTCACATAAATTCTTTAACCTTGTGTCATGTTTTACTTCAACACTAATAAACCACATCTAATTTTTAAAATTTTCTTTTGCACAGTACTAGTTATATAAAAAAAAACCCGGAATTTATTGGGGGGGTGGGGATGCACACCCCCTGCACCCCTCTCCTAGATCCGTATTTGTGTGACATTCAAGAGCACACCTCTCTTTTGTGAATATGCCCTGAAACAGTAATATAGAAGCTTTTTTCCTTACTTAAACGCCCCTTTGCATTTTTCTCGATGTATGATAGATGGCTTAAAGAAAATCTATCTCTCTTGCTTTTTTTACACTCGAGTCTTGAAAGTAATTTCCTTTAGTTCATTGCCACCCTACTTTTGTCCCCGTGTTTTATCTATGGTGTTATACATAGTTTGCGTCGGTGGGAACTGTCCGCGTCCTGCTAGGAGATCTGTACGATCGCCAACCAAACGCGCAGTCGCCGAACAGTTCGTTTCCAGGTCTCTAACTCCCCGTAAGTTTTCTATTTCTTTCCTAATGGTCTGAATTGGTCTTCTTGGTGTTTTCTGACTTTTGGCCTTTGCTTGATTAGACTACAACCTTTTCCTACCATTTCGTAAGGTTCTATTCTTTTGTTTTCCTCTGCCATTGTGTTTGGAGGTGTGATGTTTCTCAAGGGTGACAATATGATAGAATTGCCAAGGTAACCTTACTTGTTTTCTCCGGTAATATTTCTTATATGGCGTCCAAGAAACAATATTTGATGTACTGTAGGTTCCGGTGGCTGAGGAAGATCACTCTCCGAACAACACTGAACTCTGTTGTCTTCCAAGAAAAAAAAAATTTAGGAAAAAAGTTAACTGTGAAGTTTAATTTCGTGTCATGTATCCACGATTTTACCATTTAACAGGAGAAAATAACGTTCTTTAGACAATTTCAATGAACGTTGATCGAACCAAAGCGGTGGGATTCCAATTTCTGTTCAAGCTGGGATGTACGTAAAGTTATGGTGGAGAACAAGCTTCCAAAAATGCCTAGAGGGCGGAACGAATCGTCGTCGTATTTTGCCATTTGCTTCAGTATGACGATCGTGGCGAATTTACTACATTAATAATGTACCTGAAAAACTACGCGCGTTTGATTTGCTGAAAATAAGTGCATTCTCATGTAACAATAGTGCAAAACTGTAACACGAATGCAAATTACAGATTGGACGCGCAAGCTTTCAAATTTCTCTGATATTGTTTTATAAACATCATTGACAAGTAATAACATGATTTCTCATGCAATTGAGTGTTACAAGCACTTATAAAATTTTCAAAGACTACAAATTGCACTTGCCCTTCGGATTCGTGCAATCTTGTTTTATTTTAAAAATTTAATCGTGCTTATTAACACCAAATTGTAAGAGAAATCATGTTAATGCCTATAATTAGTTTTTTTCATGAATTGTAGTGGAAGACGGCCCACTAGTTTGTAGGCGGAACTCCAAAAACATGTGCTTTTCTCTTCCTTGTGAGAGCATTTGGACAACTTGGTGTCATATGTATATATACATACATCCCTATTTCAAAAACGTTGCAAATTTTAAAATATTTATTAAGTATATATATTCCTTTCCTTTCAAAGAGACACTGACGATGAAGTAAAAGAGATATATACATATTTAAAATATATTTCAAAGTTGCAACGTTTTTGAAACTCCCACCAGTTGATTAATTTGTTTATTCTCATCAATTTTTTGAGATTGCGTATACTTGCATTATAATCACAAACGAGAGCGCAAAGCTTAAATATTGCTGCCACTTCTTGTTAGGTCAATCGGTTGGCTTCAGAGGTGACGGTTACTTGGAATACAGACCTTTGTCAGGTGTCAAAAAAGAAACAGACATTGAAATGGAATTCCGACCAATCAGTCGCACTGGTATCATACTGAATAACCAAGACTCGGGTAGAGATTTTATCTTCATCATCTTGAAACGCGGGCGGGTGATCTTCAGGTATGTAATCAAGGGAACGCTATTAGTTTTACGTTTCCCAAGAGCCTGGTTTTTATTGGCAGTCAACTTTTCTAAGAGCAGAGAAAAGATCTGGAATTGTGTAAGTACGCGCTGTGAAATCACCCGTTTTATTGCAATTTAATTTAATAGTAGAATTGTATTATTCACAAAACGGTGGACTTCCCGACCGTATAAATGTACCTCAGGCAGAGACGACGAGAAAACAACTTCGGACGAAAGTCCTTAGGTGTCCTTATGGTCGACCCTGATGAAGGTGCTGATTTATACAGCTGACGTGTAACCTTCTGTCTCATTTAAATTTCAACTGAAGCAAACGCTTTCCGTCTTGCAGATGATAATTTCCTTTTTGTATTTTTAGCGCGCATGACGTGTCTAAAAATTTTCTCATATCCTTCCAGTTATAACTTGGGCAAAGGACCGGCTGTTATCGTAAGCAGGAAAGTTGTGAACTTAAATGCATGGAACCAGCTGCGTGTGTACAGGAAAGGTATGAATGGCTACTTAGTGCTGAATGGGGAACGTGTCGACGGTACCTCTCCTCCAGGCCTCAGCCAACTTGATATCGGACTAAAGATGTACCTTGGAGGAATCGTAACCAAACAAGGGAGGTAAGGAAATGGCTGCGTCAAAAGCAAGAATTTTCTTTGTGCTTTCCTATGTTCATCTGTGTTCTCGTAAGTCACCCCCCTACGAACTAGTAGGATTACAGTATAGCATTCTAACAAAGATATTTTGGCTCGATGTCCGTTTCTGAGCTACTGCCCACCTACCCCTCCCCTAGCCTGATAACAGTTGACTGAGAACAAGTTAGGGTTAATGTTGGGTTAGGGGAGGGGTAGGTGCAAAGATACTCACATACTGACATTGATTCGAAATTTTCAAACCGGTAAAATAGTCAATTTACCTGTTGAATTTTTCATGAATGCCAGGTGACTTAAGGCAGTGATTAAAATGAATGCATGTGGAGAATCTTATCGCTTACCGCCTGAAAAGGAAAACACTTCTAGTAATTCTTGTTTGTTCGCTGAAAATATGTTGACTGTTTTTGTTTGTTCGCTTGATAGTTGTTTTCTTTTGACATAGCGACCAGCGAGAGATCGAGTTTTCCCGCCCTTCCGCCCACTTCCGTCACAGTCCGTTTTCTTTTTTAATTGCTTAATTATTTGTTCTCTTGAAGTGTTATTAATAAGGGCCTTAACACTTTAACCCCCAAGATCTGATTGTTACTTCTCCCCTCTAGCTGCTACACATATCCTTGTAAATTAGTTAAGAGAATCTGGTGTAAGATCAAAATAACAACTTCTACATGATAAGTTTGAATATTCTCATTTCCTGTTTGCTGGGTAATGTATGGATATTATAGGGAGAAGTTTCATGCTGATCACTTCTGGGAGTTAAAGGGTTAAGTAAACCCCGACGGAGACGGCAACGAGGAAGTGGCCAAACAAAAGATCTAAGGGACAGAAAAATAGCGTAACAAGTGTGTTTTGAAGCCTCGTGCACTTCTAGGCCGTGCTCTGCACTGAAACAACTTGAAATCACAAAAATTTGCGTGGCCAGAGAATGGAAATCCAAACGGCAAATTATTCAAGTTTTCATTTGAAACTCAACGCTGCTCACATGCATTTTACTGAAGTTGAGGTGTGCCGCTGTAAGAGACGGCAAACACATCCAGCCATTCGCAAGATTCTAGATAAAAGTACAAATTCATTTTTTCATCGACATTTTCTTCGGCGTTCAACATGTCACTTCCGGGTTCATGCCCCA